TAATGAGACTGACGTAAAACCGATTAAAATGTCAAAACCTACTTCCCAGACATGATTTACGTGCACAAGAGTCAACATACAAATTGAGGTCAAGTCCTAATTTACACTAAATTCTGTATATTTAGAGTTTGATTATGATACATTATTGTAGTCGAACGGATTCTCTGTGATTCGTGGTAGTTTTAAAGAAAAAGGGCATTGTTTGCCAAGTCATCTTTTAATATACTAAATTAGACTAATTGCCGCTCTAAGCAATGATTATCAAGTTTGGTTTTAAATATATACCTGATTAGATTTCTATTTTTTTTTTTACTTTTTTCGTCACAGATATGGGTGCAACATCCGACATTTAAACCTGCTGCAACAAAGCAGCTTTTTTATTGGGAGATGAATTATGTATTTCAAATGCAGATTTTAGTGAAAAGGGACTAAAACAATCAATGTTTTGATATTCCATTCAGGAGGCTTTTCGTTCGTTCAGCAATCTATATTCACGACACGTGCGGCATGTATGCACCTCCAGATTACCCGTGTTTGCGCAGAATTCAATTTGTGAAAGCACTAATAATGCTGGAATTCATTACAAATATACAGAGCAAGAACTACATTCCTGGAATCCGTTCTTCGCTTTAACTGGCACAACAGGGCCGAAGCAATGCTAGGAGCTTTTCACTTAACTGGCAGCGAACGAGTTTCGTCCTGTCTTTGGGCCAAACAGCGTGAATTGTTTGGCATGCGCAAGGGTTTATCCGCTACAAACACAGGGCGAGGGTTCCCCTCGTTTTCTCCGAATAACGCAGTCTTCATTAAGAAGTCGCATCTTGGCTTGAACAGAAAAAAAACCCTTTTGAGATTGTTATAGTTGAACTGTGAAGACAAATGACACTGCCTTCGATTTGAATGCTTCCATATTTATTTGAACAGACAAAATCAGAGAAAACATGTTTTCCTTAGAGGTGTACTTTAATGACTGTGACCAAAGATCACCCCCGCTATTCCACAATATAGCTAAGGGAGATAGCTGTAAGCGAAGCCTTTTCTCTGCGCGAAGTCCCACTCTCCAGCCTCAACATAAAGTCCACGATAATGGAAGCTTAAGGTAATAAAAGATAGACTTATAGATTCAGAAGACGGGCTATTTATTTTCATCAGCATTGTCAATGCCCACAGGCCCGAACTGTGTGTCGTGGGTATATATATCCACGTATGTTCGATCCCCATTGACTGTGCATGCGTTTAGTTATGTATCTGCGCATGCGCAATGGTGACATAATGGTCGTCGGCCTGAAAGATTTGTCTAGCAGACGACATGCATCGGTGGTGACCCAAGTGAGGGATTTGTACTGCCCTTTCCCTTGAAGACCTCATGTGCGAATAAATTGCCAAGAGTCGAACAAATGGTGATATTAAATAGCATGTAGTAAGAAAGATCACCGGAAAGTAATCAAAGAAAGTGGAAAATGTCAGTTTTACGACAAAGTATAATTTATAAAAACTTATATCGTTTCTTTACCTAACTTTGTGTATAATTTTCACAATTTTGCCGAGTTTACTTTCAAATAACTTTGATGCCACATGAAAGACTAGTACAGTAACTCTTATGTACAAGCAAGGTTATTACGTCCAGGAAGAATAGCGTTTTTTTTTTAAATTCACTTCGTTTTCACTGGGACCCATTTTCGTCATTTTCTGTGTTTTTCACGTTACTTAGTGCCCAATTTTCACACCTTTGTCGAATTCCCCTGAGATCATCGGTGATACTGTCTGGAAGACTGATACTTTTTTGGTATCTGTCAGCTCATTTTTTAAAGATCGAGAGCCATTTGTCTGAAATGTAGTTCGTTTTTCATGCGCGGCGGATTCAAACTTCCGGTCGGTGCACACGTACACGTACACATACCTGGATACGAGTGCATTGGGTACGAGTTGACCTACCGCATAGCACGAATACGTACAATCACGTCGAATTGCAAGACTAAAAGGCACAAACAAAAACTTTCCGTTTCCATCTATACAGTTTCCTTCTTGTATAATACTTTCTCATTAGAGTGTTTATGATATTCTTTACCATTCACAAGGAGAGAAATTTAAGGGAAAACTTGGCAAAACTGAAAAAATACCCTCTAAAATGTTGGCTTCATTTTCAACTTCTGACTCTGTTACTTTGGAGGCACGTGACAAAAACGGGCAAAAATTTGGCAGAAAATGGATTTTTACAGTGTGCAAGTTAGCAAAAGGGACTTTGAGTGTTTAAATTCTGATCGGTATGGAAAACCGGGGCAAACAACTTTATCTGAGCTTGATGGTGATCGATTACTTTTGGGGTCAAGCTGCCCGAGTGAAGAGCCATTTTACTGGCTTCTATCGCAATGCACATGCGCACAACTAAGTGAGGGGCATGAACATATGTGGGTATCAACCCCAAAAGTCTAAATGTTGTAAAGGAAACTTTAGTCAGAAGAACTTCTAAGAAAAGTAAAAAAGGAAATCCCCCAAATTAAAGGCAATTCTGAAGAAATTATTCAAATATGCGCAAATTCCAACACTATTCTCCAAAATTTGATGCAAATTCTACAATATTACTAAAAAATTTGCTGTTTTATTCAATATCCTGTCAGTTTCGGTCGCCCCGTAACAACCACCGCGTTTGGACGTGACTAAAAAAATTCGGCCCAAATTGCCTGGGCGGCCTACTATTTCCACCGGGCGACAAACTACTTCGCCCGCGGGCGAAATACTAATATGCCTAGGCAAAATACATATCTGCCCGGGCGAATAAGTGTGAAAAAATTTTTAGTCATGTCCTAAAACAATAAACCTCCGTTTAGTACAGGCCTATAGAGGGCATCTTGCAGGCCAGTGCTTTTGTTCCACAGGCTATGCACAAAGGAGGGTTTTCTGTGGAATAAAAGATCTGTCCTGCGAGATTGCTACCACACAAAGCCTCTACAGTAAAAAAAAATGTTACAATAATACTGTCAATGGCACCCAGGCAAATGCCCCTCTCAATTCGCCGAGCGATGTAAGCAAATTCAGTCACCCTTACACCTACCTATGCTAACTATCCCAGGCTTGAATGTGACTTCAAGCAGTTTCACCCCCTCCCATCCCCACCAAGAAGGCGTGGTGCTGACAAACAATATACAATCAGTGCCCTTAATTTATCTTATTGCCGAGTTTTCGGTTGCTGGGTACCTTCGTCAGGCCAGGCAAGCAGATTTAGTTCTGAGTGAACGTAGAAAAATCCACGTTCATTTCACCTGGACGCAGCGTTCCAAGTTCGAATATGACGCACTGCTCCAGTTCCTTACACTGTACATGCATGTCCCCCGTGTTCCGACAGCAATTACTAATGCCAACTCTCAGTTGCTTAAGCTGAAGAATAACGTAGTGCGTCTGTGTCCCGCGTGTGCCACGAGGCCGTACGTACGTCTTTATAATGGAAGTCAATGGCCGCGCAGCACTTTTGCGCGCAGCTGCATGCTCTCGGACGCGAGCGTCTGCATCCTGCAGAAAGCGTCATCTGATGACTGGAGCAGCGCGTCATCTTCGAACTTGGAACGCTGCATCTACGTGGAATGAACGTGGATTTTTCTGCGTTCGTTTAGAACTGAACCTGCTTGCCCTGACGTAGGTACCCAGTTACCAAAAGCTCGGCAATAAGATAAATTAAGAGCACTGATTGTATATATTTTTGTAATATTCTGATCACGGTGCTACGCAGCCCTTTCATATTTCTAAAAAGGCGTACGTGATAACTGCTCTTCTCTGCAGCCAACTTTCCCCAGGGCTGATGTGAGCAAGATGCGAGTGAGCACAATAAGATTAGGCATTCACACCTATCACATTTCTCGGCCTTCACTGGAGAAGGGTGATTCTGATAATTGGCACTTACCCGGGGCTCTTTTCGAAAACAGACACTGAATTCCATTTAAATTTAAGAGCAAAATGCGCTAAAAAGGCTCTACTTCAGGCCTACGCGAGCATCTCTCCCCAAAGAAGTGTCTCCCCGATTATTTATTGGCTGGTTGGTAATGGGAAAACTTGTGGTATCTGACTGCAAGGTAAATGTAAAACTACAATGGTGAAGATCTTACTTGCTCGAAGGATCACGTCAGTGCACCCACGCAAGATACACTTCATTCAAATATATTGACAGATGCCAACAACTACATGTACATGTATTTGAACACAAAAGTGTAATCAATGGGGGGCGCCGCAGAATGTAGAGATACGTTTATGTATAGGTACACCAAGTACTAAGAAAATACTCGACGTCTGATACGAAAGACGTACGCCACCTGCTCCTGACCCCCGATCCATCACTCAGCTGATCACCGAGTTTCACAATTGCACGCAATTGCCTCGGGAGAAGAATTCCACACCGGACCATCACGCCATGATCACACAAGCTTACCCCACTTTAAACACCTGCCCCCGGTGCTATAAGCCCCTATTCCCGCTAAAGAAATCCCTTACAACAAACAGGCGCCTCTTTTGCACTAGGTGGTGTTTGTGATCTTCAAAAATGAGGTGGTCAAATATGGAATTCTTCCCCGCTCCGGGTTGTATCTCTCGGCCAAATATCAGCTTATGCTCGGGAACAACACTTGACCTCTCATAAGCGGTCTACGGCGAGAAGCGTGTTGTTTTAGTTTGTTTTATTTTTTTCTTGGCTGTGGTGGGACTCGACAGTAGGGCATGACGCTAGGCTTACACGGGAATAAGTGGAAGTTTGGTGAAGGAGCTGTATCACATGTACATGTACTTGAAACCACTCGAAAGTAGTGTGTTGATTAATACACAATCAAAGGCATACCACTGGACTTATAAGGGGACAATTTTGAAATGAGCATCTGCACAGCGCAAATGCCTTTGCGTTTGCACCTTTCACGGTAAATAAACCGTCCAGATATCATGTCAGCCAGAGCGATAACCTCAGGCTTGCGATAACGTCTCTCAGCTCAGAATATAAAATGAATGAGACCAGACACCTACAGTACTGAAAAAAAAATCCTCACAGACGGAATTGTTATTTCATCACACGTGATGCATTCCAGACGCTCCCCGAAAAAGTGACAAACATGTAAAATAAATATGGGGACTGGAAAACCTTCTGATAACATAAGATTTACGTTCCTCACTACTGCCCATATTTTACTTATACGTGCTAAAAAAAATTCTCTATGAACAAATTTGCATACATTGACAAATATGGCATGTATACCTCCAAGGTTAGAATAATATGGAGTCCTAGCAAAATCTCCACACAGAATTCAGCTAACAAATATTGCTGCAGGTAGGTGACACCACAACACACTGCTGCAGTATTTTGCGTACAATTCAGGTCATATAAACTACTGAATTTGAATTTGGCTTTATGAGAAGTGTAACCTTACCAGACATACTATTTACAGTTAAATGGACCTCCAGGTCCATGGAATTATCGCTTGCCCAAAACCAAGTTTCCGAATCAAAACTTAATGGTATGTGTGTAAGGCACAGAATACATATTTTAAATACCTGAAAGAGATCAGCTGGGCATGATAAAAAGGAAACATAACATCCAATCAGTTGCCCTGTAAAAAAAACAAACAAACTGCACTAAATGTGCCTTGCATGTTCTCTAACAAAGGCCTGGATTGGACAGATGAGTTCGAGGTGAATATTAGCAAATGACATCATGCATCCATGAAGTCAAAGTTTATGACATCCGGACACCTTTTGCCCCAAACAGTACAAGACTTGGACGAATAAAAAACACACTATTATTTACACAAAATTGGAGCCCAACCAGAGCTTTTGAATACTGGGGTTGGGTCCTTAAGGAGCAAAACTGTAAAATTGGAATACTTTTGAGGGTTGGTCCACGAACAGAATATAGAAAAAATACAATCACACAAAGCACTATATGCCTGCCATCCTGTACTCGAACCAAACATTGTGCTAGTTATCAACGCAATTTACTTTCCCTCCACAACCTGAGGGTTGTAAAGATGTCAGTGGCTTGCAATTTGTCTCGGCATGAAATCGACATGAATGTTCCCTAAGTAGTCCACGTGGGAGGCATGCACTTTTATTCGATGCACAATTTGGCAGAACAGCATAAGCAAATGAGAGTTGACTTCAAGCGAGTCCAAGTTCCTCAGTAAATTGCTGTCAGAACACGGGTGACATGCATGACCGAGCAGCGATGGTCAGATGCGGAGACAAACAGACTTCTGACTCTCGACTGGAAACATTCAGCATCAGACTGCCCCATCTTGCTCCTTTTTCCAAACAAAGAATGCATCAGACAAACTGAGTGGATGGCCGAGGGCAAATAAAAAAACAAAAAAACAAGACGTATTGCTGACGAGAAACGAAGGAAGGTGCATGAGTCTCAGGGGGGCAACTGGCTAGATGTCAAGAGTGAATTCCGCCCTCAGTCAAGCTGAGCTAGCAACAGCTGTAACTCCCTGAAGGTGCTCCCAACCTTGCCGGCAGCGTGCTGTCTGTCCTCCACGATAGTCCTCACTGCCAGGAGGTACCCATAACACTTTTTGCACTTCTGGTATCTGAAAAGGCCAACAAGAGGGAAAGATCACATATTCGATCAAGTGAACCACATTTCAACACACCTCCCAATGGGCCAATAACCCTAAAAACATGCTACAAGCTGACTCTGTTTGTAAAAGCAGGACTGTAACTTTGCTTAAGGCAAGAAGAAATTGGAAAAGAACAGACACAAACACAGGAGTAATTCCAAATATCCTTTTAATTTCAGAGGTCAACATTCTGGTGATGCTCTGTTCAGTCACTTGTTCCGCCATGACTGGCTGTCTCTTCTCTTTCTTTTTCAGCTTGGCATAGCACTTGCAATATCCTGCAAACCCCTCCAAATTGAAGACACTGCTGACCTCTCCTCCCTGGAAATGTCGACACCTGAGGGTGGCGTCTTGATGTTGGACTTGATGAGACTAGTAAAGCTCTTCAAAATCAGTTTCAGTGATGCACACCCACAATGGACATAGCTGGAAAGAAAAAAAAACAGGGCAAAATATCACAAAACATGATGTGTTTCGATCTATTATGGGTTATAGTACCCTATCTTCTTTGCAAGGAACATCATACACTCAACATAACATTTATCGGCAAAACAGCACTATCATTAAAGAATACTTCATGAGACTTAACCCTACCCAACCCATCGACCCAACCCATCGACCAGCGATTATCATGGAAATAATTATCTCATATTTAATGAAAGTTTACTCAGGTCTAGTGAGTGATTTCAATATAATGAAAATCAAGATTTTTGGGGGGGGGATAAAATAAGAGCGTTGTGCATAAAGGTACTCTCTGTTAATCTGGATCACCAGAATTCATTACATGTAAACAAGACATCAGCAATCTCTCAATCAGTGCTCAAAGGACCAATGAAGCATGTCGAAAACAGCAAAGCAAAAATATGGCAACTTTTGTCAATACAGCAATGTATGAGCACTTTAACACACAAAACAATACCTCACCACAAGAACAGTGGAATACAGTAAGATGGGAGACAGAAAATGTGCACATTTTACTTACTTTTCATATTTACTAGTTAATAGGTCCTTGATTTTAGGTAAAAGAATCACACACAAATCTAGACTCCATAATGACCTGTGAAAAAAAATATAGAGAGGACAAAAAAGCATTTATAGTTGATTTAAGTTTATGAAGTTCGTCCAATGAGTTAAGAGTATTAAACCTAAAGAACCTGGTCGTAATAGCTGAATTTCCCCCACCTACGTTTTCTCTACTGTTGCAACACATTTGTTTTTCATCAGACTGAACCTCCAGAAGTTTTTTTGCTGACTTCTTGCTATCATTTTAACATGGATTGTTGTGACACTAGACATATTCTTGCCAGAACATGTCCCTTTCTCCACAATAGATAGGTCCAAAATGTGAACTTTTCCCACTGACATGCGTGTTGCATGAGCTGGAACACGAGCAGGCCTCAACATTAACAGTTGCCTGATTGCCCGGGACAAGAAGTTTCTACTTTCAGGTAAGTTACTTGCCTGAAAGCAGAAACCTTTGTCCTTCATTTTCAAAATGGGGGACAAATTGCCCGATGGACAGATACATTTTTCTTGAAATGAAAGTGTCCATTTTTCATGGCCAGGAATAGCAGTCAGCAAATTCACAAAAGCTTATACAAAGTGGTAAAAAGTATACAGCTACGTGGTGTTGTGCAATGATTTTTTTCCATTGTTACGGATATCTACATGTACAAACTCGTGTTTGCATTAAGCACGCTGTACATTTAGCAGGGCACCTTTCCACACAAGGGAAAATGCGTACACAAATAAACTGTAAAATACCCTTGTGTCTGGGTACCAAACCTCACTGGTTACTGCAAGTGCAGCGCAGCAGAGCTTTGACGGCCGGAAGCTCGAAGGATAGTTGCCACATGTGTTAATTTTTAAAGTGATGGGCACTGACGATATGTGGATGATTTTTGACTGATGTACAATGTAGGAGGCTACATGTAAAGAGCAAACGATCGTGCATGTGTACATGTACCTGTACAGTGATATGTACCATATACGGGTGCGTTTTGGTGGCACAGTGACTGTGATGACTGCAGTCAATTCACTGCATGATGGCACGGTGTTTATTCGACAAATTCGCAGCGCTGCAGTGTTGAAGAGGAAACACAAACTGGAAGGTTAATTTGCCAACCACTATTAGCAAAGCCATGGAAAAAAATGCATTTTCGAGGGCTATAATTAGTCTGTAGATCGACGTTACATGCTGTGCACCATCCAGGCACTCAGGAATGTCCTGCGGCCCATGAATTTTTGCAAGACAAATAACTTGAGCTGCGCTTTGAGAGCTCCATTTCCCTCAAAGCAGAGAACTCAAAACATGAAATAGGTCCTTGAAATGATACACAAAGTAAATCACAAACCCCTAAATCAGCTAATTTTGACAAATTGCAGTACATGCAAATCCTACACACTACCTCTAACAAAGAGCTCTACACCAGGTCCTTTTACACACTTTTCAGCTCTCTACGACCATTTCTACATTCTCAAGAGGCACAGACAAAATCCCCTCCCCAATCCCTTTTTAAAAAGACCCAAATTTATGGGAAAATTCAGCAGAGGTGAACAATGACAACTTGTACTCACTTTTTAATATTCATGATGTTTAGTAGATCTACAATGATTGCTTGGTCTCGCATGTTGACGGCAGACTCTACGGCAGTCTGAAATATTGACAAAAAATTGTTTACAAATTAATTGGTGTTTCAGATAAGCTTACATTTTTCTTGGTACATGTATATTTCCTTGATGTTCGTTAGGAACAACATATCATGTTCTCAGCTATCTATAAGGGGGAAAATTGGTGCAAAAACTAGTGAAACTTGATAAAAACGTCCCCGCTGCATCAACAATTTTTGTTCTTCAATTTAAAATGTCACGCTGCACAAGTTCTGCATGCTCTGGAACATTCTAAAAAATACAAGCTTTCCACTGACAACTAAAATTATAAATAACAATTTTGTTATTCTGAGTGACAAATTTTAACTTATCTACAAACTAACCAAATGTCACAAAACATTCCCTGACCTCATGGATAGACATCTCTATGCAAATACATATGATGCCTGGGGTAAAACACAAGCCTTTCTTGTACGGGTCAGATATCTCCTCTAAATATGGGAGTCACAAAGGAGAATAAAGGCGGAAGGTAAACACCACCTGGACAAAATCAAAGAACTTCAAGAAAAACCGGAGGAAATGGATGAATATTACCAACCAGTACGAAAATGCCTTGGGATCAAACCTCTTACTCAACTACCAGTTTGACACTAATGAGTGCTTGGTTCCCATCACCTCTTCCAAAGCCCACACTTCCAAGCATTTAGCAGCACCATGACAGGGATCCCTGTTCAAAGCCTCCCCTCACCTTAATGTCTCCCGCCGTCCATATAGCCCGCACAACATCCAAGTTCTTGTTCCTGCTGGTAAGCACGGCGCACATAGAGCTGTGGCCCCTCATTAACGAATCCAGCGCCTCCGCTTCTGTCTCCTTGGCTCGGCTCTTCTGGTCTCCACCTGCCCCCCGCATGTTTTGCTGTGACCAGAGAAAGATCGGTAACACGGGTCAATGCCAAGCTCCAGATTTTACAGCGCATGTAACGGACACATCGTCAGACAAGAAACGGGCATTGTGGGCACAGGAGAGGTCCTAGCCACATCTCAATAAACTGGCTATGACTAGTCGACTAATAGTGATACACACACCCATAGGAAGCAGCTGCTGCCACTTGGCAATGGCTTTCATAGGTGCCTGTGTTATTGCCAGCCACAGCCATACCATTTGGGCATGACTGAAGTTCCAGTAATGCCACACTATCAATAATGCATTACGGTAAATTCTATTGTGTTATGAAATAATACCAGCGCCTTCTTACCCAAATGAAATGGCATTTGTTTCCCAATTGAGAATAAAAGCTTCTGAAAGTTGTCACAAGGCACATTCACAAAATTGCAGAAACACATCTCCTCCCCAGCTAAATGATGTACAATGTGAAAGAATTATTTCCGTACGGGCAGTTAACTCAAACGCTGCTGTGATGACACCTGTCTCCTTCTGTTTGGTTGTGTCATAAATGTTTGTACATGTACATGTAGTTTTCTTTAACTAATGACAACCAGCTAAATTTTTTTTACAGCACACTGTGGCCGGAGCAAAAGGCTACGTGCGCAAGAAGCTTATCAGTGAGTTTCTGATAAACAGCACTGAGCCAGAACCTAAAAACTATTTGATTGAAATTTCTCCACATATTTCTCGGTAAAAATCAAGGTGGAGATAGCTACAAACAATAGTCAACACTATGTACAAAACAAACAATAGTAATTAACAGCTAATGACATGCATGATGTTAGGGATTATCTGTTTACACTTTCACACGTAATTTGTACTCAAAACAAACACTCCTGAAATACAATTTAACTGGTGGGACCCAAGCAAACAAAACTAGGAAGCACCTGGCTATGCTTGAGTTACAGAATCTTGAGCGAATTCTGTACAAGGGTCAATCCAGAAATTAGGGGTCCACTATTTTGCCAGTCCCTATCACATCTGACATATGAATTTCCAAGAAGGATGAATTAATGCAAATTACCTGCCAAACAAATAGCAATAGTTTGAAATCAACTCCGGTGATATTTCCAAGTCAAATAACAAAGGTTACATGTAACAGGGACACAAAAATGTCACAGTTTGGACCCCTAATTTCTGGAACTACCCACAAAAGAAAGCAACAGCTGATTTTCATCTGCATAGTTCCAGTACATAAAGATGTCCATCTATGCTGTTTCTGACGCATGCATATACAGAGGACAAAATACCTGGAGAGCCAAAGACCCAGTCTGTGGGACTTAATCCTGAATGGATTTCTCAGAGGAGTATAAGCTACTTAAAAGCCTGGGCTTTAATCGTAAGAATGAACATGGGCAGATTTCCAATCTTTCGCTTTTTCTACTCCTTTCGATGACTCTGCAGCCAGGTGAATTGAATGTGTCATGCACCTGCCCCAGCAACCTGCTGCTTAAGGATTCTGGCATTTTGGACATACTTCACTGGGGCTTGAAGTTGGATCATTACCCGGCCAGGCTGCTCATGCAGTATGCATGACCACGAGGGAGGCTTTCGTACTTACAGTCCGACTGCACACCCTGGTTAAAATGTCAAAACTAGGAATGCATAGACATTGGTATGCATGGGGTTGGGAGGACAGTACTGTCACATTCTTGTCACAGACCCAGACACTGAACCTTTCACCTTTTTTATCATTCACTGTTTGAGAGAGTACAGGAATTCTAGATTTCGCTGTTGTGTGTGTGTGTGTGTGTGTGTGTTCTTGATATTCTCACTTTGTCAAATATACCGGTAATTCCAGAAATTAGGGGTCTATTTTTTTTCGTGTCCCTGTCACATCTGACATATCATTTGGTATGAATTTCCAAAAGTGATGAATTAATGCAAATTACCGGCCAAACAAATAGCAATAGTTTGAAATCAATTCCGGTGATATTTCCAAGTCAAATAGCAAAGTTCAGATGTAATAGGGACACAAAACTGTCACACTTTTGGATCCCTAATTTCTGGAATTACATGTATCCATGCAGCAATTGATCATAACCATTTCTAACCTTTTCACTGTAACATGCAAGATAATATTACTTTTTACTCAGCCATCCAATTCACAATGCACTAATCTTTGCAGTTCTCCCACTTTTGGCAATTATACAGCTTTCAAGAATGGAGCAGAAGTGCCGTGCTAACAAAACTGCAAGCCAAGAATCTAATGAAATCAACACTCAGTGGTGAAACATGATCCAGAGCAGAATCGGACGCGTCGTCGTGGAATCAATTAAACCTCACTTTTGCAGATGTGCAGGGCCAAACAACGTTTTCCCAAAGGGCAGAAAGGGTTGGGGGAGAGAAAAATAAGAATAAAAACATCTCGGAACCAAGACCAACTACACTGTAGCCTTTCTTATTTGAAAGGTACATGTAAATGGCAACAGAACACTGGAATGTGCTAAAATGTCTGGTTTATTTTTTGTAATTTTGTATGTTGCTTTTGTTTGTGTTTTCATTTTACGAATAAACAAAATGAAAAGATTAGTCAATACATTTGCCATTTGCACTTGTTTTGGCTTGATTCCTTTTCTCCTCTTTTTTTTTCTTTTTTTTTTTTTGCACGCCATATTCAGAGATGCAGGGTCCATATTTCGTAACAGTGACTTCTTCTGTTTGAGAAGGGTATTAGTAATTACACACCACAATATACACCAAGGCCCACGTTCAAATCTCTTTGCATTATTTTGGTTTGACACTTGGGCCACATTGTGAACAGAAAATCCCTTTGGATTATTTCAGTTTGACACTGGGGCCACATCGTGCACAGCCAATCTCTGGATTATTTTGGTTTGACACTGGGGCCACATTGTGCACAGCAAATCTCTTTGGATTATTTTGGTTTGACACTGGGGCCACATTGTGCACAGCAAGGAATGCAACTGTGACACGACAAAAGAAACAGACCAGATACACAGTTTTCAATGATAATTGGTGCAAATTTCACAACAGGGGGCTTCCTTGTATGTTTTCTCAATGGTTCCTTGCTATGCTAAAGGAACCATTACCAAGTACTAGCTGCAAGAGCTCTATTGACCAATTGCAATATATACACACAATTTTGCACGATGCCCTTTATGCTGCACTTGGTGTTTAAAAACTCCAACTCTTTGCTGACACTTTGAAAAAAAAATGACAAATACAACGATTTGAACCACTAATATTGAGCTCACAAAGCGAGCTTCTAGCTTCACAATTGACCGTATTTAGTACAACTGGGTTGCAAGTCATGCACACTGCCAAAGGGAAAAATCTGCCCAACGATCAAATATTGCTGAAATACAAACACCATTTCACAAGTCAAATAAAGCCCACAACACCTGCTCAGAAGGAGTCTCGGGTGTTCCACCTATAACTCATTTTTTATGCTACCCTATGGGTCTACACATTCCTGAATTACTGCCACCAATATCCCATTCTAATCATCCCAATGATTTTAAACATGTCCAATATTGTCAAGGTGCTTACCGAGCTTTAGTGATCTTTTACTAAACTATGGTACCAGAATCATCTTGAACTTATTACACATGCATGTGAAAGTACCCTGCACTAAGGCAAAAGAGTGAGATTATCTAACCTCCACGCAGAGAAGTACAGGCTAGGCTTTGCCTCCTGTATTCGCCCCGATAATGTAAAACTGAGGGCCAAGTGTCTTAGCTGCTGAGCAGAGGAAGCTGCTGAGCAGAGGAAACTGCTAATCAAATTAATGTGCTGAGCATAAATTTGTCAGGAACAATCACAAGCAACCCACACTCAGTGGGGTTTTGGCCAATAACTTGTTTTTGCTGAGCAAAACTTTCCATGCTAAGCACATGTGACCCGCCCTGTGAACATGAGACAGCAGTCGCTGGGGCCACTTTGGAATTACTGGCCTATACTAGAATCTTGCACAACATAAGTAAGGAGGGATTCTCAAGATTTTCTTCTATGGAGTGTCCATTCTCACCAGGATGCCAAACTGAGTGATGCATCAGAACTAAGAGCTCGGGTTGCTCTTTCAAATACAAACCTCAAACTCCAAAAGTGGCTCTAGTGACTTTTGACTCATCTCCACGGATTAAGGAATTCCTAACAATAAAGTTCAAACGAAGACACATTACCGGCAAGAAGGCGTTCATGTCCAAGCCTGCAGGTGCCTGTCTGTCTGAGGGTACGATGGTGTCCGGTGCCTTGGCTGCCCGCTGCGGTGCAGCATCTGGCTGTCGTTGTGGAGGCGGGGCCGGTTCTGGTGCCGCTGCTGCTGTAGGTTGTGGTCTGGCTCCTGGCTTCGGCTGGGGCTGCGCGGGGGCTGGCGGTGACTGGCTGGTTTGTTTGGGTTGTGATGCAGGAGGCTGCGTTGGGACAGGCTGCTGGTCGTCCAGAGGGGCTGGGAATGGTTGGCCCCTTGTTGGGACCGTGCTAGACAAGCAGTGGAAAAATGGAACATAGATGCCATCAAAAGTACGCACAACTATTTCCAGTGGAGAAAATAGACAGCAGTGAAGATTCATACTGTCACGGATAAGGGTTTTTGGCACTAAAACATTTTCCCTGCGAAATGATGTTTGGATAGGTCACTGAAAAGTATAATAAAACTGTCCAAACAACACTTTTCTCATGATTTTTCTTTGATATTAAGACATTACAATGGTATCCTTTCACCCAGACCTTTTGAAATATGCAAAGTAAAACATTAAGTTTCTGGCAATTCCACAACAGTGTGCATTTACAT